ACCTTCAACGTCACTCTCAGAATTGTCAGTACAACAATCTGAATCAGAGTCACTGATGAGCTGAAATATGTCGGAATCTTCCAGATGAGACGATGCCATGATCGAACTAATCAGATAGCTTGACAGAACACGTCCAGCAACAAACCAAGTACTCAGTGTAATGAAACTGTATAAAGAAATGTAATCTTAGTGTGCAGCCGAGCTCAATAACACTACGCTGAGTTTATTTCATTCGCCCACTCTCCTCATTCCACAAGAATTACGTCATGGTACGATCACACTTTGAAATTACGCTCGACTGAACGCTTCCAGCCACGAAGCTATTACGGTGTGTGTTGATACAGCAACACGATTTCATAAAACAAAAGCTAGCCTTCAACTGTATAAGAACAGTACACGTATTGTTTAGAAGAACTCTATATACAACACGTGAGTTTATATCACTTGTCCACCGTCCACATTCCAGAAGTAGTACGTCATTTAGACTCCGATAAACTCTTTAGACACAACATCTGCTGTGTTGCCAACTTGCACAAGTGGTCATGCATCTGCCTGCATTCAAACATTCCGAGAACCTATGAATTCTTGTAGAGAAATTAACAAAACTGGGGAATTTCTTATTTGGAGCCAGTGTAAAAATCTTAACATGTTTTATACAATCTGTAAATTACAATATCTGATTCTATATTCTTTCGAGAAAAAAACAGCGTTTATATCGTTCGTTTATCACAGAAATTGCAGAAATAGGAGCAAATTTAGTAAGTGACTACAGTTTTTACGGATTTCTAATCGCGGGTATTTAAATTTATTCCGTACGGCTGCCTTTACCGGAATTTAAATGCCCGTAGGATAAAGGTTAATGGGAGCAAAAGGGCAAGGGTTCTCGGCTACTTACAGTTCACTAAATGCTGAGAGAATTACCCCGTTCCTCTGACTTACTTGATCCTTGAGGGCTTCATCATTGAGCCATTTGGTAAGTGGTTCATACTGTTTCTTCAAATTCTCAAACTTCTCTTTAGCTTTATCTCCCTCTGTAAGAGTAAAACCTTCTTTGGCAACATTCTGGAATTTCTTTCCATCAAATTCAGGAAGAGCAGAGATACAATATTCATCTACTGCTTCTGTAAGATATAATACCTCATAACCTTTCTTCAGTAGCCGTTCCACAAATGGAGAGTTCTCAACCTATAAAGCAGAAAGGACAGAATTATTATTTCTAGCACACAGAACTACTTACGTACATTGGTAGCATCATAAACACAACGCAGTCGCATGTAACCTCACAACAAAATCACCTCGAAGACTGATGGCAATACTATACATTCAGTGAAACTGTAATATCTGGGTTAGCAACAGAAAGCAACAAATTCCAATCCCAGCCAGAATGCTCGTTACTGTGACCGAGGTTTTTTTGTGGTTCTCCCTGTCCCCACAGGCAATTAAGTCATGACTACATCCTTCCACATCTTTTCCAATTCATCATTCATTAAATTAATCTACCATTCAACACCATACAATCTGACATTCAAACAACACTGTTAAATAAACAAGAAAATAAATAAATGCAGCGATATATATACTCACTTTCACCTTCAGTATTAATGTCTAAGGAAAAATTACACAGAAAGGGGAGTATTCCTCTGAGAGAACTTGTGCCATGTTTAGGAANAATGCAGCAATATATACTCACTTTCACCTTCAGTATTAATGTCTAAGGAAAAATTACACAGAAAGCGGAGTATTCCTCTGAGAGATCTTGTGCCATGTTTAGGAATCTATCAGCACCATGGAGTACAGTCCTTCAGAAGTTGTTTATAGTGTAATTAATGTAGACATAGGGATATATAATGCCGCTAATGCCACTTTGTGTTCAGACTGAATTTAACAGGACAGAGAAAAATGTGAAATGACAGGAGTGGGAGGAGGATAAGGCAATTTTTTTCCAGCATGACCTTTTCATAGAAAACACAAATTATGACAATTCAAAATACCCCTTACAGATATATATTCATTTAATTGTAGTGAAATCTCTCTTTGGTGTTTCTCTGGGGGGAAATAAATTTGAACACTGAACAGGACAAAAGCTTTCAAACAGAAGAAATTTAGTACTGAAGTGACCGGGCTTGAATTACAGACATCTGACACCAAGTGACATTAAACTTTAAACTGCAGTTTAAGTCTATTTACCTCCTTCCTGTTTGCTCCAGCGATGTAATAGATATAATCCTGCTTCTCCTTCATTCTTGAAACATAATCTGCTAGATCGGTCATTCCTGCTTGATTTGATGAATGGAACATAAGCAGTTTAGCCAGACGTGTTCTGTTTGATGGATCTTCAATCACTCCCAGTTTGATGTTGGTTGAATATTCCTTCCAGAATTTTTCATAATCTGCTTTCTCAATTTTTTTAAACATATCAAGTGCTTTGCGCACCAGTTTCTTCTTGATAACCTACAAACATTTTACAACACAATTCGCATAATCAGCAATTATAAACCAATTATCGCATATACAGTTAGATCTAAAATAATGGCCTTGATCATCATGAACACATTAAAGAGCGCAGTGAGGTGTACTTCAATGCCACTTAAATTGTACTACTCAATCATTCATCCTGTCATGCAGTCTGATAGGCAGACAGGTAAGACTGTGCAGGAGGAATCTGATGCTTTTATCTTCAAGGAAGAAGGCATGAGAAGCAGTTCTCTCTGAAATGTCAGTACCTGTCTACCAGCCTACAAGACTGTACACTTTAGAAGACAACATTCTTAATATTCACTGCCATGAAAACCTAAAATTACATTCATCTACTACACTTACAGAGTCCTCTCTGAACAGTTCACAATGTTTACGAACATTCCTTACGACAAACAACTGTCACTCTACACCCATTCTACCATAAACTGCACACTGTCCAGCACATCTGTTAAATAGGACACAAATGATATTTCGCTGACAAACAGAGCTGCAATCTGAAAAATGAGACACAATTTTCAAAAAGTGATTTTGTATAACATTACTGACAAATTTATATTTTAGAAATGAAAAACAGTAAAATTTCACTCCTGCTTCATATTCAGGAGGCTCCAGGTTTAAATCTCAGCCAGAGAATGGATATTTTGACTGAGGCCTTTTCAAAGTTTTCTTCAGTCTCCCCAGAAGAATAGTGGGCTAGCACCTCAGACTAGACCAACGCCTTCTTTTCACATCCTTTTTAATATTATATACTGATCATCCTACCATCCAATAGCAGCTGAGACACCGCAGTCGACATAGTGACTGGCTAGAGGCTGACTCCGCAAAACTTGAGCGCATCCAGAAAAAGTTTGCATCTGTCTGTTTCTACCGCTACTTCCCACATAGCTCCTATAGTTATACATCTGCCTTAGAGAGACTAAGATTGCACCCTCTAAGTCTGCGTAGACATCTTCTTGATGCACTCTTCTTCATTCAGGTTTATCGTGGCCTTAAATCCTGCTCCTCCCTTCTGGATAATGCTAGTCTTCGTGTTCCTAC